AATTTGCTAATTCTCCTCATTTCACTTTTTCTTCAGTTCTGTTACTTCCAATGCCCATTAACAGGAGCACATGCATACAAACACACATGCAGAACACATTCTCATCTTATGCTCCCCACTTCAAAAATGAGAGAATATTGACCTCCGTGTTCATGCCCATGAGCTCTGTTTTAGGGAAGACTGCATTATAATAAAGATTTGTGGTTTTTCTGAACCACCTTGATGTGAGTATATTCTAGCTCTGGTAATTCTATGATGCATGGTAGACGGGTCTCATGTTGAATTTGAAATTGTTGAGTATGTTATGATTTGGGATACTTATTAACACCTCAATCATTCACACTTTGGAGAGGCATACACAATGACTAATTTTTTCCATTGGATTTCTTTAATCTTCTTTGTTTTAAATGAGGTAGGATTCACATGACATAAATGTAACTATTGTAAAGTATACAATTCAGTGGCATTTAGTGTATTCTCAACATGGTGCAACCACTACTTTGCTCTAGTTTTAAAACTTTTCCCTGATGCTAAAAATCACCTCCTTCCCATTAGGTTATCACCATTTCCCCCATTTCTCCCATTAATATACTTTCTGTCTCTATGAACTTGCCTCTTCTGGATACATCCCATAAGGGGATCATACGATATGTGACATTTTGTGTCCCACTGAATTTTCATATCACATTTTGTTTATCTGTTCATCCGCTAATGGGCATTGAAGTTATTTCTACCTTTTAGCTACTACAAATAGTGTTGCTATAAACATTCATTCACAAGTATCTGTATAGACATGTTTTCTTTGCTCTTGAGTACATATCTGAGAGTGGTTTGTTGGGTCACAAGTTAACTCAATGTTTAACTTTTTCAGGAATTGTCAAACTATTTTCCACAGTGGCTCTCTCATTTTATATCCCTACCAGCAATATACAAAGATTCCTATTTATCCATATTCTCACCACCACTAATTTTAAATTTTGTTTTGTTCTGGTTTTAAATGAAAGTCATCCTAGTAGGTGTTAAGTGGGATCTCATTGTGGTTTTAATTTGCATTTCCTTTATGACTAATGAGGTTGGACTCTTTTTTTTTTTGGGGGGGGGGGCAGGGTCTCACTATGTTGCCCAGGCTGGCCATCCTCTTGCCTTAGCACTCCCAAGCAGCTGGGACTACAAGCATGCAACACCATGCCCAGGTCTGTTGAATATATCTTCATGTGCTTATTGGCCATTTTTTATATGACTTGGTTTATATGATTTAGGTTCCTTGTCTATTTAAAAAAATTGGGTTGTCTTTTTGGTTTTGAGTTCTATAAGTTCCTTACATATGCTAAATACTAAGCATATATAAGCGATGTTTAAATCAGCTTTCCATTGCTGTGACAAGAAGACCCCAAAAGAACAATTTAGAGCAGTCTCAAGGTTTCAGAGGTTCCAGTTCATAGATGGCCAGTTCCATTGCTCTGGGCCTGAGATGAGGAAGAACATCATTGGAGAGGAAAGCAGGTCAGGAAATGGCAACAAGGAAGCGGAGAGAGAGAGAGCTCTGCTCACCAACGACAAGATACCCCCAGTGACCTATTTCCTCTCGCCACACCCTACCTACCTACAGTTACCACCTAGTTAATCCCTATCAGTGGATTAGTTCATCAATTAGGTCACACTTCTCATAAATTAATCATTTCAACTTTGGACTTTCTTGCATTGTCTCACGCATGAGATTTTGGGGGACACCTGATCTAAATCACAATGCATGATTTACAAATTTTTTTCCCATTCCCATCTTCTCATTCTGTAGATTTTTATTATTGATCATGACCTTTGATGAACAAAAGTTTTCAATTTCTATGAAGTCTGATTTATTTGCTTTTTTTCTCTTGTTGTTTGTGCTTTTGGTGTCAATCTAAGGATTCACAGCCAAATTCAAGTCAATTCTCGAATTCAAAAGGAAATGCAAGGGACTCCAAACACTCAAAACATAATGAAAAAGAAAAACAGAGTGGAAGTACTCACACTTCAAAAGATTGAAAATTTAACACAAAGCTACAGTAATCAAAACAGTGTGTCAGACATAGGATAGACATAATGACCAGTAGACTAGAACTGAAATTCCAGAAATAAATCCAAACAATTGATTTCCAAAAAGGATGCCAGTCCATTTTAATGGGGGAAAGAAATACTGCATTCAACAAATGGTGTTGGGACCACTGGATCTCCAAATGTTAATGAATAAAGCTGCATCCCTATTTCACACCCTACATACAACAATTAACTCAAAGTGGATCAATGACCTAAGAATAAGAGCTAAAATGATAAAGCTTGTAGAAGACAACATAGGAGTAAGATTCTGCACAGAGAATGTAAATCCACAGACAATTCTCGCTCCCAGTTGAAAGTGAACCTCTTTTCCCTCATACATTTTGCTCAGTGAACTTGGGGATGGCAGTGATGCTGACTGACTTTTGTCATTCCTCTAATGCTTCATGAGAAACATACTTGAAGAATATCAGAAAGGAAGCCAAAAACAATGTGTGTGTGTAGGCTAATCCTAACAAATAAGTACAATTGGCCATGCGTAATAAAAATAAAACCCATATGATATTTTAAATGAAACTCACTCTGTGGTTTAAAAAATTCATTTGCTGAGTTGATCAACTCTTCTCTTGCATGTCCTTCTTACTTGATAATGTTATTAGGAGTAGATAATGTAATAGTTAGAAGCACAGAGCCTGGAACCAGAGAGAATGGAGCCCAGACCAGGTATCACCATGGACTTAGCAGAAAGACATTTTGTCATTTATTTAACTTCTCTCTGTGTCTCAACTCTCTAACCTTTAAAAACCTACTTCCTAGAATTTTTGCCTAACCCATAGTAGGCATTTTTAAGTGTGTGCTATTATTTCTAAGACTGAGACAGGTTGGAACAGCCGAGAGAAGTATTTTTATGCTTCCTAATGAACTGGCCCATGGTTATGTCAAGGGTTACTAGAGAAAGCAGCCCGAACTGTGGCCATAAGCCTGCACCTATAGACCTCCACCTACACAGAGTGCAACTGACCAAGGGCCCCAACTGCCATGCTCTGAAATCCATCACCACATTTTCACAGGTTTCCCTCCAACTGCCAGGGACTACAAGCTGCAGAAATGCCAAGGAAGGCTATTTGGGGGAATCAAGAGAATTCCTCTTGGTCAGCTTTGGCTCAAGCACTCTTTGACAATCTTGTCAAAACTTCTTTATTATGCAGGACAAGCAGGATCTTCTATCCCACTTAGCTTTCATTCCAGATCAGACTTGCATTAAGGCTCAGGGCCTCTCCAACCTTCCCCACCTCCCTATTTTCTTCACTGTTTTAATCCCATATTGGAATTCGATTCTTAGAAGGCTTGGATTCTTGCAGTCTAGCATTCAAAGCTCTCTTAGATATGACCTTATCCAATTTTCCTTCTTATTCTCCATCTCTTACATGGAGGTTTCACTCTTGATTTCCAAATGTGCATGATCCTTCTCTCTCTCTCTCTCTCTCTCTCTCTCTCTCATTTGGAGTTTGAACCAGGGGTGCTTTACCATTGAGCTATATATCCCCTGTCCTTTTTTTTTTAATCTTCTATTTTGAGACAGAGTCTCACCAAGTTGCAAAGACTTTGGCTAAATTTCTGAGGCTGGCATCGAACTTGCAATCCTCCTGCCTCAGTCTCCTGAGTCACTGGGCTTACAGATATGCACTACCACACCCAGCTTATACTTTCCCATCTCTGAGCTTCTGCCCATATCCCTCCACCGAGAAAGTACTCACTACCTGGTCATTTTTGCCTTTGTGGTTGCATGTGTCCATTGATCTTGCATCTCACATGTCACCTTCTCTGAGACTTTCATGATTGTGTCAGCCAGATGCACTCTTTTCCTTCTCTAAACCTCTGGGACTCTTGTTTTTGAGCTATTTTACAGGCTTATTAATAGCCATAAATAAATCTCTTACTCTCCAAAGAACCCAGTTTGTATAGAATAGGCACTTGATATTTGTAGAATATAATTGAAAAATTAGGGGGAATTCTATTCTAGTGAATTTAATTTTTAACATTCATGATTTCTAGCAGCTCACATTCATTTTGTTTGATATAGCAACAATGTATTCGGGTGAATAAAAAAGAAACCCATGTATCAAGGCACTTGGGGCAGAATATAGTCCTAATATTTTAAGCATTTTAATATTGTTTGAAATGCTTCATCAAATGTGGCTGATTTTTCCCCCCAAAGGAGTAATGATTTGAAATGCTAAAATACTTTTGGGTTTGTCTGTGTCCATGTCTATGAATATGGACAAAGGAATCAGGACAAACAGTGGTAAGAGAGTGTTTCTTCCTTCAACAAAGGGTTCCCGGCTTAAGGGCTGGTGAGGCCAGTGTCCCTCCCTTTGGGCTCCATTCCAGAAGCAGAGGAGGGGGATTCTGTCATTTCAATGAATGTTTATAGGTGGCCTATATATAGTAATGCCAATGAGTACTAACGAGCTCAATGTGTAGAGAATCGTATTTCTTCACATATGCCTGATCATCTGTGATTGTCATTGTGGCTGACATTTATCAATTTTGCAAAACTGTGCCAGGAACTTTTAATCCACCTCTCCCAACAGACTTGTCTTCATATCACACACAGATTAGGTGATTGTCCCTAGGTCATGCTAGGTCCTTGAGCAAATCCTTGATAAGTGTATCACAGGGATCCAAAATATATGTGAATCATATAAAATCAGTTTCTTCTCCCCAAACTCATCCTAATGCTTTTTGGTCCATTTCCTCAGACAATCCAGTGTAAGGAAACTGTCATCATCAGGCTAAAGGCAAGGTTTGGCGTTTAGCCAGGGTACAGCAGCCGTGCCAGCTCAGCCTTGGGTAAAGGCTGTAACTCTTTAACCTGAGTCTGTAATCATTTCCTGTGGAAAATATACGCTCAGGTAAGACTTTCAGGTGGAAATCAGGAAGAGGGAGGCTAGTGCGGGGATCCAATAGCACCTGCTTGGACGCTCACCTATTAATGATTTAACAAGAGTGATCACATGGGACAACTGCTGCTCTTCTCAGCCCTTGTTTTTCTCACTAACAGGTCTGCAAATTGCTCAAGATGGATGGGTCCAGCAGAAAAGAGAAGGAGGACAGCAACTTCACCAACATTTCTCTAGTGGATGACACAGGTAAGGAAGAAATGGGTGGATTCTTCAACACAATTCAACAACTGCTAGGCAGGTTTTAAAAAATATAACCTTTATTATTTTTATTATAATGGTAAACCATCCTCATTCTAGAAAACTTGAGAAAAAATAGCTACGAAGCAGTTTTTAATTAAGAGCTGTTTTTCTTCTTTTAAATTAAGTGATAATTTTTAAGGTTCCTGTGGTTATGTTACATGAGCTTTTAAAACTAAATCAAATGAAATATAAAATGTTCATTTCCTGAAAGTTCTGGAAACATGACCTCAAAGTTGTTTCTAAACCTATGATATTATTACCATATTCTTGTTCACTTATAATCAGCTTCTTCTCTATTTTATCAAATAATTTTGTCACTTTCAAAAAATGACCTAGATTCCACTATGATTAGCTTTAAGAATTATTTTAGAAAATGTCTAGGTTATTTCAGCAAGGACAAAGTTTGCTGAGTTTAATACGGAGAAGGAAATCGAGTGGGGGGAGTGGTTCTAAAGTGCTGACGGTAGGGATAACTGGGGCTCACTCGACATCTTGGAGAAAATAGTTATGCTGAATTGCACAATGCTAACTAGAAGCATTTCAAACCTGTAAGCACCCACATCTTGGTGTGTGTGTGTGTGTGTATGTGTGTGTGTATGTGTGTGTGTGTGCGCGCGCGTTGTTGGTGGTTTTCTATCCAGGTTCCTTAGCGCAATCATAGGAGGCAGCCAGCAGACTGAGCTAAGCCATGGGGGTTACTGATTCTGATTAACAGAGAGCAGAGCATGAATATTTAACACGCACTGCTCTTTCATACAGCCACGCTTCTCCACTTTCTCCCTAAATGCTCAGATTCAAAAGAGCGTCTTTCTAAAGTGCAGCCAGACAATTAACACAAACCGCCAGCCAGAGCCAGCTTCCCTCCCAGCCCCGCGTAAACATGCTGGAGCCTTTGGAAATGGAACAGGAGTTTGTAAGAAGAGGCTTTGTAAGAAGAGGAAAGGTGCCAGGTCCCGGGCTGTTGAAGAAATGGGATACTGCTGTCCTTAACAGCTCCCACCCAGGTGTTTTAGAAAAATGAGAGAACTGCAGAAGGCAGTGAAGGAAACAAAGACAGGGAAACCTAAGTTTCTCAGCTTCCAGAAGACACGATGAGCAAGATCACGTGCCTGGGAGTCCTGTGTGCCGTTGGGGAGGGGCCGGTTCAGACAGGGGCTTGCTTGCTTGGAAGCAGCTCAGCCCACAGTGTTCCCTGCACTGTGATGTGGGCTGAGCCTAGAAGCAGGGCTCTTGGGGAGTGATGAGTCTGGAATTCTTCTCCCTCCTCCACACCATTACATTCCCTTTTTCTTCCACTTCCTGTCTCATCTTCTACCATACGTCCAGTGGAGGAGATGCAGGAGGGCAGGGAATTTCAACTCAGATGTTTAGTCCCCTGTCGGCAATGGTTTTGAGAGGAAATCCATCAGAGCTGCTTTGAACAAACTGAGTCCAGGGCGTCCTGGCTCCCAAAGAAAACCCCCTCTTCCTTGGTTAGACCAACTCACAGCATCTTAGTGCAAACAGGGCCTCAGGACCTGGTCCAGCAGGGAAATCAGTGGCAGGCTCAGGAACGTGTACTAATTTGTGCTGTTTCAGTATTTCAAAAGGATAAATGGAAATCGTTGACCAACTTGTGACCAAAATATGTCAGTTAACTAAAACACCATATTTCTTTGGCTTTGGGTTCTACCTTGTCCACTAGATGTGGCAGCCTGTTAAAAAGAGCTTCTTGGAATGAGATAAATGCAAATAGGAAGACACATTATGAACTAAAGGGAACATCATTTGACCTGTGGTGTCTAGGGACAGGGGATGTGGCTACTTAGTAGAGCTCTTGCCTAGCATGCCCTGGGTTCAATCCCTAGTGCATGTGTGTGTATAGACACACACACACAAAAAAAAAAGAAAGAAAGAAAGAAAAGAAAACGAAAATGAAAATGAAAAAGAAAAAAGAAAGAAAAAGAAAAAAATGTGGATACCATGCAAGAGTAAGAATTAAAATAATGTTGTTTATATCATAAAAAGTGTCTAGTACAATTTCTTGCTTTTCTTTTTGTAACACACACTTGTGTGTATTGTACTGTATACACACATGTAGTATACAACAAAAAGGAGGCCCAGAGAGGTTAAGGACCTTGCCTAGGATCACAGAGCCAAACTGGAGAGGAAGGAAGCACTTGCTGAATCCCAGATTCCATAACATTTATTGGATTATAGACACAATGTGAGCTATCTAGAATAAGCATCTATTAAGCATGTATTTAATCTCTACAACATCATTGGGATATTATTGTAATATTACCAATGATAATCTTGAGTATCTTGCTCAAGGCCACTATGTAGGCAATGGTAGTGCCAACGCCAGGTCCTGCATGATGGGGCATTCCCCTGATCCCTCTTTTCTCTGTACACTTCCAGACGGCCATTGAATGGTAACAGTTGTGTTGACCCACTCTTAGCTCTTCAGGAGCTTGTGGACCTGGGTGCAGGGCAAGCCTGGCCTCCTTGGTGAGACAGTGCTGATAGGCCTCATGAGAAGGTCCTGGTGATTCCCTGGAAAGAGCGCTGACTACTGGATGCTAGCCGGCTGTGCTCTTGGAAGCTGCCAGATGAGGAGGCTGTCACACAAGGACATGCTCTCTCCTTCTTCATGTGCAGTCAGGCCTCAACTCTGGAGTGGACTCCCACTGTGGCTGCTTCAGGCCTGGTCACCGCCTCATTTACCTCCATACCTACTCTGTTATACCATTTCTTATTCAGAGAATGGCAAGAGAAAGGGGGTTTGTGCTAACTAAGGTTTGTATGAGAGAGGACTGAAGGCATTAATTATTTCATTTATTTGGGGATTTTACTCATTTATTTTTATTTATTTGTTTATTTATTATTTATTTACTTTGGTACTGAGGATTGAACCCAGTGGTACTCTACCACTGAGCTACATTCTCAGCCCCTCTTTTAAATTTTTATTTTGAGACAGGGCCTTGCTAAATTGCTGAGGTTGGTCTCGAACTTGGGATCCTCACTGGGATTACAGGCATGTGCCACCACACCCAGCTGGATTTCATTTATTTAAGTAATCCTTCTCACTAGCATGAAGCCATGAGAACTGGCTATAAACCAGTAGTGTTCCATAAACTCACTTGAGGTTAGTTGTGTGGTTTTGGGAGCAAATGTCCCCATAGACACCAGGATCTAAATGATAGAACTGCACACTAGTCCATGCTGTCTAACCTCAAGGTTCTGACCAGTATGCCCAGGTGCTCCCGGGTACTAGTACAGGGTACTACACTGCAGCTCCATGGGGTGTCTCAACCTCTACCAGACACTGTGAGAACCACTGACCAGAGCAGTCCGATTTCACATTAGACTGAGCTACATTTCTTTCTATGACACTGTAATGCCAGAATCATGGTACCCCCAATAGACCTCCAGGAGCCGAATCCGATGCAGTCACGCAAGAGTCTTTATTACAAGCTCAAGCCTGGACTCACAACCGTTCCCCAATGCAGCGGTCCCAGGGAGTGAGTCCCGGTCCTCTGTCCAGTGAGATTTTATAGGTTTTGGGGGGATACTCTGTGTGTCATAACATCACACACAGAAAATCATTCCATACCACAGGAAAATCAAACAACAACTCTTAACATTGATTAGCACATTCACTGACAGGAACAAGTTGGGTAGGGGTGATTGGTTAGTACAAGAGGGGGGTTCCTTTGAACTGATTGGTTTAGGCCAAGAGGGGTGTACGTGCTGAACTATATGGTTTCCCAACATGTTATCAACCACCGTAAACTACTGGGGGGGTCTTCTGGCATCCCAGGTATTTTCCCTGTCTCATGCTGATTGGAGGTTGCTAGGGGGGTTGCTATGGCTCCTCACCTAGCCTGACTGAGTCAGGGACACCTGGCACCGCAGATCTCTTCTGTTATTTACAACAAACAACTCAGCAGGGTGAGTATGTGCCTAGGAGTACTCTGTGGGTTTTTCCAAGGACAAGGGTCACGCCCTCTTCCTTGGACAGGCTTTGCTCTGAGGTAGAGGCTGGTTTCTCAAAAATGGAGTCACATCAGTTTCTCTACCCCATCTCTTTGGCTGCCGGGTTTTCTGCAGTTGCTAGGATAAGAAGTGAATTCTGTGTGAGAATCGATGTAGAACAGGTAATAAGGGTGGTAGTTTGAGAATGTTGGGGAAGTTATATCATGCCAACAGGCGTGCACATCCCATACGCACAGGTGTTCCTTGACTTATGATGGGGCTATCTCCTAATAAACCCATCGTAAATTCAAAATATCCTAAGTAAAAAAAAATGCATTTAATACACCAATCCACTGTACAGGATACCTTAAGGGGATAGCATCAACTGTCTCCCCCATGACCACGTGACTGACTGGGACCTGTGCTCTCTGAGGTGCCCGGCATTGCCAGAGAGGATCTTATCACAGATGGCCAGTCCAGTAAAAGATCAAAATTCAAAATTCAGAGTTTGATTTCTACTGAAATCACACCATAGTAAAAGTAAAAAAAAAAAAAAAAAATCATAAGCTGAACTATTGTAATTCAGGGATTGTCTGTGATTTGTTTAAGAATGCAATTTAAAAAAATGCTTTCTTTCCAACTTAGGAGTAGTTTGTGAAGAAGTTTGGATCTAAACACTTAACACATGGAACCTGTTGGGTGTTACTCCTGGCCTTAGAGCCCTGTGACAAAATTACTGAGACACTAAAGGCACCAGTAAACCAAGCCAGTTTGGGTGTCTCTGGTCAAGCTATACCGTGGTTGGACTGGCCTCTGGCACTGCGGAGGTGGGGGCCATGCTGTGCAAAGCCAAGACATGATAGTACGGATCTCTGCTCCTGGCTTCTTTGTTCTGGCTTCCCTGGTGTTGATGCCACACCCTCTCATTCTCAGGCTCTTCTGGGGACCCATCTTCTCCAGTGTTTCCCCAAGATTTGGTTCTTGGTCTC